ATGCTGAGCTTTCTTTCCTTGGCCTCCACTGCCTCTTGTTTTTTACTCAACTTTTCCCTGATTTTAATCCAGTGAGTTAAGCTACTGGGTGATGTCATGGAGATCTTAATTCCCAAAGTAGTGCCAATCATCCAGAAATTTTTCCTTGGGGAAGATGATAGACTTTGATAACTCTTTCATGAAGAAACTCCTCCCAGCATTGCATGTGCTCAAGGCCATCCAACGTAAGGTTTCTAGCACCTCTCTTCTTACAGTCCTTGCTGTAATATACTAAAAATAGATGCAGAAATCATTGCAGAACCAAGTATTTCCTACACAGGTAAGCCTGGAAGCATTCAGCTCCTTTCGAAGAATGAGAATGAGGAATGCTATTCTTCTGCCTGCTCCATAGTTGGGACTAAGACTTTTAACTGAAAGACTGCATTGTCTTATAAATTGGAAAATTAATTTTGAAATGTTTGCTTGCTGTTGAGGATTTATATGAGATTAAGCCACAGCTTTGGCTTAGGAGCTCTCCTCACCCACGACCAGCTCTTTTCAGCTCCCGTCCAGTTAACCACAGCTTCTAGGCGCATTCCCAAGGAGGTCTTTTTCTTATAAGCTTCCCTCCCAGCGTCTGCATTTAGCAGGCCTCATAGATTATACATGATCTTGTTTCTGCATTGTATCGCTGAGAAATGAAGCCAGTCCCAGTAAGAAGAGATGGCTGCAGGACATTTTGCTATGGTCAACCCTCTTTTCGCAGCACTGTGCAGACTTCTCTCCTGTTGATTTTGAGAAGGCACTTAGCACCACATGGCTGCAATGCATGGCTCTCCTGCACACATCCACGCCAAGCAGAGCAGAAACGAAACACAGGCTTCTTACAAACAGGTTTATTTGCATTTTGACTGGAGCACAGATTCTAGATACACATTTCTTCTGCACAACAGTACAATAGCCAGTGCAAAATATGCTTTTTTTTTTTTTTTTTTTTTAATTCATGTACAAAAAACCCAAACAAACTATAAGACAAAAAGTGTGGCAGTATTTACTCACAACTGGTACGCTTCAGCCTCCAACCCATCCTCCTCTATTCGCCCTCACCCTTCACGCCAACTCTGGGGTCAGCATCGCCCATCTCCAATGGCTGCATTGTCAGTGACGAGAAGTAACTCCCATAGCCCTTTGAAAGACAAACACTTGCCCCAAGCAAACTGGGAAAAAACAGCAGGCTACTTAAGGAAAAAAAGTAGGCACACTGGCTGTTTACCTGCTCTACCCACACAGAGCAGAAGTATTTTGAGGGATAGCAAAGAAAAAAAAAAAAAGGTACAAATCAGAAATGCACAAAAAATTAGGTACCAGCTTAACCTATTTTTAAACAGAGGCAAAGATACTGAAATACACCTCCAGTCTGCCTTCTGATATTCACCCATAGGAGGAATGATCACACCGAATGCACACTCCCCACTTGGAGCAGTACCCTGTGCTGTCAAGCAGATTATAATCTTAAGAAAATATGTGCACTACTAGCATAGGGTAAAACCATTTCATAACTGAAGAAGAAAGGCAAGCCACAGTCTGAATACAACTATTTTTCTGAGAACAGTCAAAAAATGAGAACAGAGACAAAAAGAACTGTCCCAGTCATCCACCAGGCAGTTGCTAGAAATACAGCCAATGCTTAAGCAATATAACATCAAGGTAGGAAAGTCACTGTACAGCTGTTCTGCTTAGGGAGTAACTCTTACTAACTTAAAAGCACTGGGCCACCAATTTATCCTTAACTAATTTTCAGAAGCTGTAATATAAAGCTGCAGTGTTAGCTCAAGAACGTACTCATCTTCACCAAGGCTTGGAATTTATATTGCAGAAATTCATAAAATTTACATAACTCCAAGTGTCCCATGCCCAAATCACCCAGAGCTTCTATTGTAGACTCTTTCTACCCAAAAATGACTGGACTTCGAAGCTTGATCAACAAGAGTTCTTTACGTCGAACTGCAGTTAAACAAAGTAGAGAACCACTTAAAGGACACAAGTACTCAGTACAGATATGTGTGAAACAATACAGCATGTATGTGTATATTTCTATATGCATAAATATGTATATGTTACATTATAAGGAGACTGCCATTCAGAACTTCTCAACTGCAAGAATCTTTTTACCACCTGCAAATCCTGAAAGTTCAGTTCAGCACATTTCAGACCAAGATGATGAAAACTTCAGTATTTTCTAAATTGAATTATTTTTTATATTTTATTCAATTCACCTATCTTTCATCCCCAGCAGGACAACTTTTACTCATAGGCTTACATTCAAGGAGAGTCCACTGAGAAGTGGACAGGCTGGGACATCACACTACTTGTTAAAACTTGTACCACCCAGAGCATCTGCAGAGCAAAAAAAAAGTCTCATTTAAATTACTTTGAGCGGGAGGTTTCAATTCCTACTTTTGAACAAAGAATTAGGGACTGAAAAAAAATCAAAAAGACTGTGCTTAAGAGCAGTGTAAATGCAAAACCCCATTAGTCGCGGGGAAAGCAACTCATCTCCCATACCTTTAAACTATGTAGAATTTAGACATTTAGCCCAGATTATTTGTGCTTCTTTTATTCTTGAAGAGAAGGTTTTCCTAACACCCAGAGATGAAACAAGTAGAAGTAACTTGTGATTCTTCTAAATGACTGATCTAGTTGGTGTCTAGATCTTTATGGATGTGTATGCTACTGGAACACAAGCCTCCAAGTTTCTGCTGGGACAAAAGCTCAGCAAATACTAGGTTCAACTCTGTCAAGTAAGCCTAAGCCTTACATACACATTAGTCAGACAGCTTAACAAACAAGCTAACATAAATAAAAACAGTAGAGCCCACCTAGTAAGACAGTATTCCTATTCTATATAATTGTTTACTCTGGAATACCTTCTTACAGTATGGAAAGGACAACAAGATACATTGTCAAATTTATCCTTACATCAGTATAAAATTATTTGATTTAAAGAATCTAAGTGTAACGAAGCCCTAACAGAGTTATTTGTGTTCAGAATTAATCAAGCAAGTGCTACTGAAATAGCATTAGGACTTCTGCATATACTTCCTTGTAGCAAGATTTGTTTCTGAAATAACTAAGAACAAGTTATACTCTTCAAAAATAAGTGAACAGTCCTTAGTTCCTAACCTTGAGAGAAACGCTGTTTCTGTCCTTCCTTTGCACTGCTGTGTTTCAGTACTGCCATGTCCCCAGAATTTCAGGGCCATCATGTGCAAGTGAATCAGCGACTGACTACACTCTTCCTACCTACTCCAATGAATCTTTTAAATTGTTCTCATCAGGTCAGATTCATCTCTGTGAGTTGTATACACAAGCAGCTATGCCAGCTATACAGTACTGGGCCAATATTACAAGAAAGCATGAAAAAACATAGCCAATCTTCTGAAGCATCTTCCGTAAAAGAAACGAGGTAACAGCCCTGGTACACAACGGCATGTATGTAATGGCATGCAGAGCAGGCTGCAGTGCCTGGTGACACGTATGCCTTGCAGACAGAATAAGGAACATCTACAACATCATTCAGTCCAGGTCAATAACCACAACTTCTATCATTTATGTACTTTACTTTCCTCAGAGCAGTGACAGAAAAGGGATAGATGATGATGAAGGAAACACAGATGTATCTCTATAGTGCCTATATCACTTGGCAGCAAGTGCATACTGGAAGAAATGAAACTGCCTTCCTTCTTTAGGGGAGTTTTGAGCTGAGAGGTCAGCTGCAGGGGAGGGGTCTGCCTTCCACTGTGGGTCGCCTTGGGACAAAACTCCTACCTGCTTAAGTGACACAACAGCCAGCAAGAACTGCCCAATCAGGGTGAGAAGACAGAAAGGAATAGAATAGTTCACTTGAAAAGGACCTTCTAAGATCACCTAGTCCAGCTGCCTGCCCACTGCAGGCTAGTCAATAGTTAAAGTCTGTTACTGAGGGCATTGTCTAAATGTCCACTCACAGGCATAGGGAAACAACCACCTCTCTAAGAAGCCTGTTCCAGTGTTTTATCAGAAATAAAGGTTTTGGTCACACATGGGCTCCCCTTCAGCTGCAATCTCACTTCAATGCAAGGGTCAAGTTTCATGTGGCCTCAGCTTTCTCTCAGAAAGATGATGTTTTCCATCTTCCAAAAGGTCACTTCTTCCCCCAAAGACTCCCCCAGCCACTGTTTGGCCACACCTCACTCCATGAAACCACTTGCAACCTCCTCACCTACACCGCCTGGTCCTTAACAAAGCAGCCTCAAGTTCCTTCACTTACTTCAAGGGGTGGAATTGCCATGTCCCAAAGCCTGAGAGTCCCTTCAGATAAATGCTACAATTCATGGAGCATCAGGACAGCCAGTTGTGCAAGATCGTGCCTAAGTATGCAATTAGAGAAGTTGGCTGAAGCTCTTCCCATTGTAACATAGTTTTCTATTCTAGTATTATTTTTGGTGTAAAGAAACTGGTAGGGATGGGTGGTTGTTTGTGCACAAAACTTGATGTTTTTAATGAAAAAAACTGTTGCTTTTCTCAGTATTTTGCTCTTTATTTCTGTAGGGAAAATTTGAAACGCATCATTTCTGTCAGAAAAAAATATCCATCCGTGTCTGTCCGAATTCCTCCAGTGTCAGCTGGGAGCTGTAATTCACAGTCTGCACGTCCCCTTCTCTCCCAGAAGGCTGAGCTCCCGGGCACCCCTCCAGCCTTCGTGACGCATTCTCCCTTTGATGAACCCGCAGTAAGCACATCATGGGATCTGACATCCAGCCAAAAAGTTCAACCCCAAGGGAGACATGGCGCTCAAGGCACTTGAATGGTAATTTCTGAGGTCTGCACCAGTAGCTGAAACCCATGCTGCATTAAGGGTCAAATGGATTTAATTAAATATTTCCATTTCAAAACGCTAGAGCATTTTATTTAGCGTTTTCCAACTGATTATTTCTCATTAAAAAAATAAAAAATAAAAAAATTCCATTCCAGGAAAGTTTTTGGTATTTCAGCTTTCAACCTAGGTGAAATGAAAGATTCAAGTAGAACAGTTTGATGCTAGATGGCCATTTGGTTTGGGAGACAGCCTTATTAATTACCTGCCAAAAAACCAAAAGACTCACTCCATGCAAGAAGGGTGTGATTCAGTTTGCCTTTGGACATCAGTGGAAGCCACTTTTTTTAGCTACTGGAGCCTGGATGGTTTCCCAAAAGACCACGAGAGGGTGGGGTTGAGAATAGTTGAGAATATTTGAAACAGGAGACAAGAGTGAAAAAACAAGAATACAAGAAGCAGCAACTAAGATGATCCATTACCCACGCTCAATCTAAACACTGTTTTACATACTGTACTAATTTTCTCCTCCTAACTACTCACTAGGATCAAAAAAACTAATTTCCAGTCACAGTTAAAGATAGCAGTTAATTAACACTTTGTAGCGTGGAATAAGCCCATGGTATGAATTTGTCAACAGCTCTGTAGCTTTCAATATTCAAAACATTTCCGCGGTAAATTCTCGTACACTCAATTCAAGAAGATTATTTTAAGGCTCAAGACAGAATACAGTACTGAACTGCTCGCCTCAGGTTGTACGTTCCCCCTTGAACCCTGTAAAACTGTTCTGTTGGATGGATGTTAAAGAAGCTCTGTCAGGTCAGACCAAGGTCTATTGACTTTAAGCATATCTACAGGTGGAAAGCAGCTAATTTCAAGATTCCAGGATTGACACTCTGAGTAGGGACTGGGCATCAATTCTATTCTCTGCATTGCTCAGTCTGATGCAGGATTAAGCCCCGAGCCTTCCACCTCAAAGAGTAAAAGAGGATCCCCAGGGAGCCTATGTTCATCTGCAATGGGGTGTGTGGTGAAAGCAAAAAAAAAAAAACCAACAAAAACAAGCCACATTCAGAACTGTAAATAAATCAATTCACCCAACCATGAGGGGTCTAGAGAATGTTTTTTTGTTTATCTTTCCCTTTAGTACAAGGCAGATGTTTCTAAGCAATATGCAGAAACCTCAGTTTTTAAGACCGTAGAGGAAGGGAGGGAGGAAGAAACATGTACAAGCTTTGAGAGTGTTCTCAACTTCAGGTTCAAAACAAAGAAAAAAAAAGAAAAAAAAGAATATCTGCAAAAGCAAGTTTTTCCTTAAGCTGTTTGGTAATTCTTAGTTCATAGGAGCATTTTATCCAGAAGGTTCTTCATGTTTCCAGTCTAGGTTGTAGCAATCTCAGTGAGGCACTAAATTTTAGGCTGTCAAAGTCTTTCTGTGCAGCAGGGTCATTTTAAAATGATGTGGTAGCCATCATTGCTTTCAGCTGTAACAAAGAAAATGCAAAGCATTTTTTTCATCAATTTTAGAAAACAACACAGATGAATAACTCCAGATTTTCGTAGTTTTCACTAGTTTGCATTCTTGTTCCACAATCCATTCATGACATTCAATGCTGAACATCTAGGTCAAAGCATTTACATCATTTACATTTAAAAAACCCAAAACAATAACATACTAGCATTCCTCTTTGCTTTAAGACTTTCTGCTCATTTATGTCAGAGGTGCTGGTGGAATTACGGAAATCTTGTAACAGTGTAAGAAAGGAAAATACATATCAGTCTATCAGTAAATTGATGCAACTTCTTGACTTACTTCAAAAATTACATTAATTTTTGCCCTCTTCAGGACACTAGCAAAAGTTTAGTTCCATTGAACAGAGAAAGTATCTTTAGAATCATGTAATAAGAGCACCAATAGTTACCTTTCAATGTGCTGATAACGAAACAAGATTCATCCTGGAAGTTTTGCACCATCTGAAGGGAAGAAGAAAAAAACCACAATGTTTTTAGCCATTTAATTCAAGTTTTTTTCAGTGTCAATACTAAATTTAAAGAAAAAGTTCTTAAACAAAACCTAGTGTCTATATATTTCTCAGTAATCCTGTCCATAGATTATTAGAAGTACATGAGGTCCTTGCAGGTGCTAATGTGCTTAAGAGAAACTTACATTGAAGTGCTTTGCCTGGAACTATCTGGCTGGTTCAGCATTTTACCCATCCTATTTGCAGCTCCTGATCCTGCAATTTCTTTCAACACTCCAGCTAATCTATTAAGTCCGTTAAGAGACATAATCTTTAAATGATGCTACACCATTTCAGTCTGAAGACAGGCCCTCTCCTAAAAGCCAGCAAGCGTAATACACACATACACACAGGTGTTTGTATACATGCACACATTCAGCAGAACAATAAAACTCAGTTGTGTTTACATTAGGCTCTGGGACAATACCTAGAGGTGTCCTGCCCTGAGAAATATGCTCCTTGCTGAGTACAGAAATATTGTTAATATGAAGTCATTTCAGAAGTGTCCAACCAGTTATTTTGACCAGACAGTAGCTAGAAATGCTGTGACTCAGTGGTTAATGGAGATTATCAGAACCACTCTATGATCAGCCAGAAAATCCAGCTTTATTCAAAACCTTTCTCCTAACTACTGAACAATATTCAGTATATAGAGTAGAGCACTTTCCAGCTGCAAGCTCTCACAATAAACACCCTCTTCACCTAATCCTGCAAATCAAACTTCACTGGCCAGTCTGTGTGCCTGCATCTAATGATGCATGAAGTACATTCATACAGAGCCTCACTCTTGCCACTACACTACCAGAACAAGGAAAAAAAAAACAAACAACCCAAACTCACAAAAATAAAGCAATAGGCATTGTTAATAATTGACTTAAGTAAATAGTTAGAGCCTTATACCCAAGCTAGTTCAGGCAATTCCCCTACCAAGAGTTGCCTTCAAGCACTTCACGTCCATAAAGCATTAAGGTTTCAGATTTAATCAGGCTGAAATAGCAAGGAGACTTCAGGAATAAGCATTATGCCCTTCATTTTAGGCTCCTGTTGAGACCTATGCTCTGCTTCATTTGTTTTAAAAATGTTTCTTACATATGAAGCTCCCTAAGTGATTCTGGCGCATTAATGAGCAAGTCATTTAAGGGGGGGAAAAGAGGAAGAAGGGCAACTCGCTATTAACCTACAAGTTAATGGAATGGACTAAATTAAGCCATCATATAATGGGACACAAGCAGTTAGCAGAGGTTCATGAAATCATAGTGTGCATTTACACAGCACTAACTCTGACCTGGTAGTCAGTCAGTCATTACTTGGCTCTAATGACTGGCCAAGATGTAAGATTAATTGCCCTAAAGATTTGCAAACTTGTCTTCTCCAGAAAACTTTCCTATTCATTTCTAAAGTATCTCACTTCATTTAGGAATTTGTGTAAGCGGCCAAAATGAAAAGGAAATATATGTTCTATAACACAAAAACTTTAAAATCACACCAAAGTCAACGTTATGCATGAATGATATAAGTTACTTGCTTTAACTTTTTGGGATTAATTATCTTGCAAAGTTTCCTTGAAAATTCATTCCATAATTTAAAAGCCCATTCTTAGTTCAAGAAGTCAGACAGCTGTTACAGCCCTGATAGTTTGCTTTAAACCCTTACCTCATTGCTCACTAATACATGGATCCCTGTCGGTCCCTGACGATAGATTCGATTTATCTGCTGTGGAGAAATGCTGTACAAGTTTGCAATCTTCTCCATTAATTCCAAGGTGGTCAGCTCTTCCAAGAAGATTGCATGATATACTGCAACAAGTTGAAAGTAATTATAGAGTAACTGTAGAGTAATAATTACAGATAACACCAAGAAGTTCACTATCAACAACCAAAGGGTTTAAGATCAAGGTTCAAATCCTGACAGTAAATAAGCAAGCTTAATATATTCAAAGATGATCCAAATAAGCTGCTTGATGATTTGTAGAATACTTAATATTTGGGTTCATCAGGCAAATAAAGCCAATGTCAAATTTGCCCAGAGAAAATCACAGGGACTAATGAAAACAAATATCATAGGGCACAAGAAAAGAATAATCTTACAGGGATGTTAGTATTGTTGGATAATCTACTTTTAAATTTTGACATTTTAAGCTTCTGATAAGTAGAAAAATACATTATGAGATGTTTTATATAAGTATTATTTTATTAGATGTTATATATTAGATGTTAGGTATAACCTAACAGTATCAAAACTGGGATAAACGGGGCCTCTTTAAACACATAGGATACCAAGCTGTACCGTGCAACAGAGCTCAGGCAGAAAGTAGTCTTTTCAGCAAACAAAATCCATACATAAAAGCTTACCACAAAGACTGCCATCTCCATTCTCTCTTTTTTGGTGGAGATGGGATCTGTTTTGCTCTGGTTCTTGACAGACATAAATTGTCATCTTGGGCCTTACATTTCTATGGATTATTAAAAGATAGTAATGAGTTACTAAGATCTAAAATTGTTCCACTCAGGTCCAAACATTGATAGACAGAATCATCCAGACTGTGCATAAATAACCAACTAAGAAGAATAGCCTTGATTCTGGTGGCTAAACAATGTAGGAGGCCCTTTGGGAGGTGGTGGCAAACTGCAGAGCACCTTAACCTCCTTCAGGGATGGAGAAGAATAAACAGTATTCAGCATTTGCAAAGCAGTTCATCAAACCCTTCTTTATTGATTTAAATTCTGACCAGATGAAGAATTTAAGATGTTGTTGCCATTTAAATTAAATTTTAGAGACATTTATTTTTTTGTTTGTTTGTTATATGTGATGGAGATGCAAGATGGAGTATTATAGGCTGTGTCACATATGAAGGAGATGCAAACTATCAGCTGATAGCAAATAAACCACTGGAGATCCACATTATACTCCTTCATTTTTAACCCGGGTGAGAGTTTGGTAGCATTTCTGATCTCTGCTTGGATTTGAATACCATTGTCATCTCCAGCCTTTAAAACTACCTTTTGAGGTGTTAAAAGGAGGTCTAAGTGCTACAGCTCTAGGATTAACTTATAATTAACACTAGAAGTGTATCAAATGGTGCTGCCATAACAAGGAAAGTAGGAAGGAAGAAGTACAAACCTTCCTTTGATTGCATTAAACAGCCGAATTCCATCAGCAGGCCCACAGATTTGAACAAAATCTTCTTTGGACATCTTCAGTAAGTCAGCACCTACATATTTCAAATTGATTTTTTTTCAGAAGTTAAACAAATCTTAGCTTCCAAATTGCATGTATGGGCAACAGGAGAGGGAAGGGAAAGGGAATCCACAAAATTAAATTAGACAGATTGGACAGGCTGCAAACTCAGAGAGTTGTACGCTACAAATCAATCATTGAGAAACAGTGTGAGAAGCCATCAAAAGAGCAGTGGTCCACAGGAAGATATTCAAGCCAACACAGAAACCAGCTTCATTAAATGTCTCAATTTTTTTTGACTGCCACATTCACCAGACTGCCTCAGAGAAAGGCCCCTCAAGGCTTCAATGTCTTTAATACTACCCCATTCCACCATCTTACTGATGTGTACAACTACCTAATGGAAGGGTACAGCAAAGATGGAGCCAGATTCTTCTGAAAGGTGCACAATGACAGGGCAAGAGACAGTGAACAGAAGTTGGAAGATGGCAAAAATACAGATCAAGTAATAGGGAATTTTTTTTTCGCTAATCAAGTATTTGAAGAGATTATACAGATCACAGAATCATGGAATGATTTAGGTTGGAAGGGACTTTTAAGATCTTCTAGTTCCAACCGCCTGCTATAGGCAGAGACACCTCCCTCTAGACCAGGTTGCTCACAGCCCCATCCAGCCTGGTCTTGAATGTGTCCAGGGAGGGGGCATCCACAGCCTCACTGGGCAACCTGTTCCAGTGTCTCACCAACCCTCACAGTACAGAATTTCTTCCTGATACCTAGTCTAAATCATGGATTGCCCAGCCTTGGAGATACTAGGAATGCAACTGCACGTGGCCCTAAGCAATTTGATCTAACTGGACTTCCTTCAAGCAATGTGTTGGAGCTAAAGAACTCAAGAAGTCCCTTCCAACTTCACTTCCTTTATTTCTACAGTGTGTGTTTTAGCAAATGCTAAGCAATCTAAGAACAAAAGAACAAGTATACTGGATCAGATCAGTGAACCCACCAATACTGGCCAGCAGCAGATGCTACTGATAGGGAGCATGAGCTGGACTTAAAAGAGAGAATAAAGACAAAATAATTAGATTATTTAAACTCACCCGAAAAACTTGAGAAGAGTCTACAGAATGGAGAGAACCTATTACGATGAAGCCACTGCTGGGCATCTTGAATAGAAGCAGAAGGAAGGAGATGCTACATTGCAAAAAGAATAAGAAGGTCTTGAAATGAACTGTGTTCACCAGTGTCCTAAAAAAGAAAAGCACCACATTAACATGATCTCAAATACTTACATCATTGCTGGGAGGCAGGAGCTCCACTTGGTGGGTTGGAGAACTGTTGCTAAAAAAAATTGCATGAAGTTGGAAGAGAAGAAAAAAAAAAGAAAAACAACATTATTTTAAATTTTGCATTGCAGTGCTCAACCTCCTCCCCCTTCTCTATTTGGCTCAACTGTTACAAGTCACATACCAACTTGGCTTTCACTTCTACCAGATTTTTAAAAAGGTGCCCAAAATCCAGACCAAGGACAAAAAAGAACTAATTGAATATCTGCTTGAGCTTTTTGTTGCTCAGTTGAGCTCCTACGCAACATTGAGAGAAAAACCTCAGTTCAGTGATCTCATTCAAGGTATTCCATACAAGTAACATGATCCCATCTAATTACGCAAGTTGTGACCCACCAGCATGGCTGAACTCAACCATTCTATCAGCAAGAAACCCTCTAACATTGTCTAATACAAATTCTTACTAAATTTGAATAATAAAGAGTTTTCTAATTCAGCCCTGGTGTTATTTTAATCATAGTAATCTGCAAGTTAACTGGATTAGACAAAAACACATTTCTAATAGTCTCTCAAAATATTGATAAGATTTTCATAGAATCATAAAGGATAAAAAAGACCACTAAGATCACCTAGTCCAGCCATCAACCCATCACCCATGCCCACTAAATCCTCAGTGCCACATCTACCCTTTTCTTGAACACCTCCAGGGACAACATCTCTGGGCAGCCTGTTCCAATACTTCACCACTCTTTCAGAGAATAAATTTTTCCTTATATCCAATCTGAGCATTTTCCCATAGGATTAACAATCTACCACTGGCTAAAAAATGCTCAGGAGTTCTCTGTGCTAACACTGCTTTCTGCCATTTCAGTGCCCAACTTTATTCATAGGTTGAAGTTGCTCACTGAAAATCTGTGGCAAGAAATCAATTAATTAACAACTTATATGGGAATCTAACAAAGTTGAAGAGTCCGGAAGGAGGAATGGAAAGGGCTACACCAACGTACAAAGGGAAAATGTGTTGCAGAGATGACTGAGAATTTCACTGCTGTGTATTTCAGTCATCAACAATCATCTTGCATATTTTAGAACCATCAAAATTATTTCTTTATGATGGCAATATCAATGAATTAAACATGTCTCCTTTTTTATCCTTCATTCTTGAATGGTTTCTTAGAATTCAAGCTGTTTTACTCCTCCATACAGCTTCTTGAAATCACATTCAATTGGGAATGCAGCACACCATCTAAAGATAAAAGGGGAGTAATACCAGCTCTGAAGAGATGCTGAATGCCCCTCACACTATTGTTGGAAGATAGCAGGAATTGCTGGAACAGTGCATAGTGTGTTTCCTGACTTCCACAGAAAAGTAAGAGAGGAAATTCATGGCAGGAATTGCCCTGGTGGTTCTCTGTAGATCTATTCCCAGACATCACACAAGCAGTGGGAATACAAACAGGCCTCTGCATTATGGGGAATTTTTGCCTGCAAGGTCTTAAAATCTTTGTGAAGAATCTCTCTCCCTTTCTAAGAAGGGTGCTCAGAAGCTAAACTGCTCCTTGAACTCTTCCAGGATACGAAATGCCTGGATACATGAAACATACCCAAAGGCTACCAAATCAACAGAGAAGATAAAGCATTTATTTGTTACATACCCATCTCCAAGGTTGAAACTGTTTGGAGAACTGTTGTAGCTTGGAGATGGAGCACTGTTCATTTGATAAGGCAGATCGGGCCAGGGAGAGCACTGTTGGAAGAAAGGCAGCGGGGATACTTTCATGAGGTTGGAAATAAAGGATTCGATTCTCCTCTCATACCACATTCATGCTGTTGCCACACCACTAACTTCAGCTCATCGCTCCTGCTGGGAGGAGGAGACGGGCCATGGATCCTACGCTGCACTCCAAGCAGGCTGTCAGGGGGCCAGATTGATTCCAGTTGTGCATTCCACATTTCTCCCATTTCACAAAGCCTGTCCCCAAATAACACTGGGCCAAAGTGTGCACAGCTGTAAGTCAGAGCAACGCCAGTAAGTCAACTCAGACTGAAAGCAGCAATGATACAGAAATACCACTGGTCTCAATTATGTATCCCTAATTAAATCCAGACAAGAGTGACAAATACGCTCCAGTGGCATTGCTTCAGGTTTATACCAGTGAAAAAGCAGAATTTGAACCAGCCTGTTAAAACCTTTGGCTATTAGTTGAAAAGCTCAAGATATAAATGCTTATTACATAGGAAAAAGTTTAAGATAAAACAGACACAAAGCTACTAAAAGCCTTCACAAACTTAGGACAAATTCTATACTTCATCATAAAGCCAGAGCAACCAGCTAGACCTGGTGACTCTGCTCTGTATTTATGCCACAGTAATCAGTAGGAGAAATCTAGCCCTGTAGAAACCCCTGCCATCAAGAGCTCAAGAAAATGCTCTGCAGGATCCTTGTTTGTAATGATAAAAAGAAGACAAGCTGGAGTTTTGGAGTTTTATTATCTCCACATACAGCACTAGCAAATATTTAACTCTTTAGCAACCCACATTTCCCTGTGCAATATGTCAAAGTGTATCAGAGCTAACAGCAAGAGTTTAGGATCTGCCAACTCAGTAGAATTAAGTCTGTGTACACAACAGCCTCATTAACAATCACCATGGTGAGCTAGAAAACACCCTGGTTGCTTCTGGCAACTTGAGGAAAATTGAGTGGGAAGGGCTGGATCTCACAGGAAGTTTACATAAATTAAGAAAAAAATCCTCAATTTCAGAAGTCCAGCAAGCTACTTCAAAATAAAAATAATAATAATAATAATAATAATAATGAAAGAATTAAATCAAACTACAAAACATTCCCACAGAGAGATGGAACAGTGCTTTTAAACTTATTGTTTTGAGCCCCTTTGCTTAGTAATCCTGCAGCCTGGGATGAGCTTATACGTACATCTTTGCAATGAGGGGACAGGGGTTAACACGTTAATCTCTATCCTGGAAGACAGTCACATCCAGAGAACGTACGACATTCAGATATTCCTAGAGAGCGAGCCAGAATCTAAGAGCTGGTATTTGACAGTAGCCTCCAAGGAACAATAACAGAAAAGCAGATTGATAATTTAATCAGTCAGGCTATTCATGTGTTCAGTGGCCCCATGTCCAACACGAGCCTGTGCCAGACAGTTCTGAAGAAAATACCTCATACAGTTGGCATCTGTGTGCCATAACAAGTGCCCAGAAGCATGGCAGAGGATAGAGAAAATGTTTCTTTTAAACACAGGCTGTAAAGGGCTGGTTTATACCCTGAAACACAGGAAAGTTTGACATCTTTTATAAACTTCAGCAGTGAGAGACATGTTATAATTTCACCAAGCTCTCTGGTTCCATCAGATCTTGGTGTAACAGTTCCCACAAGAATCTCCAAGGCTCAGTTAGACTGCATTTGCTCTGAAATCTGTTTCCCAATATGCTGAAGTAGTACGACATATGTTTAAAACATTTTACCTCTGTGAGAATAGTTGTCTCATAAGAAGGCTGATACTTCTCCTTCTCTTGGGTGGTCTTCTTCTCCATTTTTTCCCTGTCAGTCTTCTGTTTTCTGTCTGCTCCTTTAGGCTATAAGCACAAGCACAAGCTTTGCCTTATGCCAAGTATTACAAGTTTGGAAACAGAAGCCAACAGATTTTTTCTGATCTGTTCACAGAAGACTCCTTAAGATTTATGGGGGCTCCACATACGGAGCAAGACCAGATCTGCATTTTCCAGTCAGAAAAAGTAATCTAACATCTCAACTGTTTCTATAACACCATCACCTCCCAATTAACTCCTACTGCAATTCCAAAATAAAATGATCACAATCTTGAGATTTGATAACTATTTCAGATCATGAACCCTCTAAGTTATGCACTTCAACTGCTTTTGCACCATCTCTTCAGGAACAGGAAAGACATTGCTTGTAGGAGAAGTGGAGCACAGACCCTTCAAGCAAACAGGGCTACAAAAATCTTGTTAAGTGGCTCCATGTTTGCCATGTCCATTTAGGAGCTTCGGAGATGTACACAATCATCCTTCTCTCCTCCAAGTAGCAATGAGATGAATTGTGTGGCAAAAAGCAAAGGGTACTTAAGATCTCGAAGTTACACTTTCATTGTTTATGGAAGATTGAATCAAAGAAACTGGCGATGCCCATGCTTTCTTAATTGCCTGGAGACATTCAAACACAATGGATATATCCTGAAAATTGTCAGCATAATATGTTGACTCAAAATGACTTAAAACAGTATCATCTATATTCCTTAGAATCTGGACTATGTCTTGTATCACTGATGATACACAGAATCACAGAATCATAGAATGGTTTGGGTTGGAAGGGACCTTTAAGACCATCTAGTCCCAATCTCCCTGCATAGCAGAGATACCTACCTATACATCACTGTCAGAACAAGAACTAGAAAAAGGCAATGCTTCTAGACACTACTCAACTGTATTACACAGAGATTTATTTTGTGCACCGACACCCATCTGATGGGTTTTCATTTCAATTAGTCAAGGTTTGAGTTCTTGGTTTTCATTCAGTATAATTTAAGACAGCTGCACAGCCCAGATCTCCATGTGCGTACTGTTCAAGGCACAGTGGACTGGCACCAGTGTCAGCATGACACTCAGGTTATTCAAATTTAACTAGAATTGCTGTGTAGTTCAGGGCTTATGTTGTTTTGTGTGCAAGAGTTCTGTTTAAGATTTTAAGCATATCCAGTTGAAAGTCTCTGTTTTTTTACTGTGCTATTAATGGCACTACTCCTTCACAGTTTACAATCTGAATTTAACTGTTAACTTTTCTTTAATGTAGTTGATGACAAAGACAAAGCCAAAATTACTTCTCACCTTGAACACCTTGATCTGGCAGCTGGCAGAATGCAAATGTTCTGTGTATTCACCATTTTCATTCTGCTTAAAGGTGTCGATTTGCACCCGGAAAGGCACTCCCTTCTCTCCTCCATGTTTCCGTGGAGTAAATTCTGTGCTGATACAATGCACCTGGGAAAACAAAAGCTGTGCTCATCTCTGGAGAGTGTTCAAAGCTGTAAAAAAATGAGTTTTAGACTCCCTGAACTTGCAGGGTTGCCTGAACATGAGGTTTTGACTCCTCCTTAGAAACTAAGACACAGAAGGGTTCAAAATATTTTCATTTCTGTTCCTCAAGTAAAAAAAAAGAATAGAAGAATAAGAATCCTAGAGGGAAACAGGGCACCAGAAAAAGCATCCTTTGACTTAAGTAAATCCCACATACAGATTAAAAACAGACAGTTTGCATTTCAGATGAGAAATACTCATGAACAAGGACAGCAAGCAAAACTAACAGGCTGTGAACAGCTTCCTCCAGACAGAACTCATGCTCAGAAAGCAACATCAATGTGGATTTCTTTTTTTTCATTTCTTCTAAATAGCCCAGCTAGAGCAGATACTACTTCAAAACTAGCAAGTAACTAGAAAGTATCCTATTGTTAGCACCTTTCTCTCTTCTTCGTGTGCTGGCTATTTTAACCCTCCAGGTCTTTGTAAATACCCCATCGCTGTATTTACAACGAATATCACTTCTCTCTTACCTGAATGAATGCTGAGGCTCTCTTTGATGGATCCCACAGAAATTCAACGGTGTTCAACTGCGTGGGGCTGGCCCTGGGATCCAAGATTCCAACTGACAGCGGAATATCTGTAGAAGAAAACCCCTAAAATTTTAAAAATATTACACTGAAGAAGAGAAAGCATTTCTATACAATTACGAGATGCATGTGAAAAGCCAAGCCATCCATGATATATCTATTTGTGACCTACAGTCCTGGATCTATTTCCCACCCAAAGCATATAGGTTTCCTAAGAGAGGAGTATATTTAAAAAAAACCAAACAAACAACACATAAAAACACATGGTACAGCATTCAGCACTTCACTTCCCAACTCTGCAAAAGAACTAAAATGAAATAGTCTCACCTATATCAAGGATGCGGTCCCCAGGCCGACTCCACCTCCAACCCTCCAGCTGCTGATGCTCTGTGTATTGCAGGCGTCGGTCATGGAAAACGACACGAATTATACTCTGTTAAGAGAAGATGGCAAGGTGAACAACATGATCTAGAGGCCCTTCTCTTGAGATGACTTTGGTTTTCCAGTGTAGGAGTAGAAGCTGATCTGTTACTTCTACGTGTTTTTAACCCCCATTCACGATGAGAGCAGAGGTTTCCCCTAAAAGACCCATTTTCACGTTTCCCACATTCCTAAGAGACCCATGGAGCAAGAAAGCAACGTAATTTCCCTCTCAAAGGGCACACTTGCATTGAATAACACAGCCCTACATAGCTCTCCCGGCTTTGGTCTGGAAGCACTATAGCAGTGTCCACCTAATGGTAGGTGTCATGCCATGTAAACATCACTATACTGCCTCCACATCCAAAATGGCTCACATGGAATTTGCATTTAAGGTGTCTGTAACATACCCCATGCCCTGTATGTCCCACCCTGATCAGAACATCTGAAAGCCAGTGCACTTGTCCCTGCACCGGTGGAGCTGACCTGCCCAGACACCCTGTCAGTGGGAAATAAACTTGATTCCAGCCATTAACCACCAGTTGTTGACAATGAATTTGCCCAGTGTAGTTAAAGGAGTACAGAATAGGAAAGCTACTGCAAGAGGGGAAGTTTCAGCTCTGGCCTGCAATGGTGCATCCTCGTCAACAATTGGAGACAAAGGGCTGGAACAAGGGCAATCTCCAGGGCAGACATGTCCAAAGTATCCCTAAATGATAAATCCTTTTGGACACTCAGAGTGCTATACTAGCATGAGATAATGGCCCCTTACCTCCCAGTTTCTCAATTCCCTGCTCCTACTGGGGCCCTGCATATCGAATGAATGAGCAAATTTTGCCAGTGAACCTGAAAAAGGCCCAAATCAAACCCAAGCTACAAAGCAAGCAAGCCACACTGGGAATGCCTGCAAAATTGGAATCCAAATCCATATGCTTCCTGAAATGGGCCAAAAGCCAAGTGCGGACCTGCCTAAACTTGGACAATTGAAGTCTAGATTGGAATTCAAATTTTGCAATTAGTCCCAACTTCTCGTAAGAAATCCTGAGGCAGAACAGCCAAGAATTTGGGAGAGGAAGGCTTGAAGGTTGGATCCAGAAACAGGATCCGGAGCCAACTTTTTGAATTTGAACAGAAACAACCAAGTTCTATATGTTCAAAATCATGCTCGTTACTGAAGTATATTGGAGCTATGCAGAATCTGTGTGGCAGAACGGTGTGAAGGCCAGGGTCTTCTGCATGACATGGAATGGAACAACACAGGTGTGCTGCTCGGGGTAAGAAGGGAGAAAGGCCTGCGGTTTTGACCATGTTCACCTCTGAACTTTGGGATTCCCCTGAACCCAATATTCACAGTGAAACTCTAGGGTCATGATCACAGACAGAACAGAGATTCCCCTGAAGCCTCATAAAGCCAAGCTGCATAGTCCCGTGAAACTCCAGCACTCAGAATAACTCCATCAGCCCTGCTCCCATTAAAAACAATGGCAAAGTATCTTCCATTGTCTCAGTGTGAGCAAGGTCAGGCCCTTCATTAGAGGCTGTATGTAGTAGCAGGAAGAAAAGAAATCTATGTTTCTCCTTACCTTTACATATTTTGTGTTTAAATCTTGAAACTCTCCCAATTTCCTATTCTCAAGTAGACGGATTTCATAAGACTGACCTAGAGTTTAAGGAAACATTTCCAAGGTGTTTAATATGTTGTAGCAATGAGAGAGTCATGCTGGCATTTACGTGGCTAATAAAGCATACGTTTGATCAGGGAAAGCTCATTTTTGTTAACATAATGCATTTGCCCCAGTAATAGAGTAGGAACTAAAGCACAGCAGAAATCTGAGGGGAAGGTTTGTCTGTTGACTGCTCAAAGCACTCAGGCACCAATTGCACTCTGTCTTCCAGGCCTGTTACAGCCCTCTGGTCATCCTCCACAAAGCCACCACAGTGCTTGAGACCTCGTTTCCCTCTACAATGGTGTTGCCTTCATCTGCCCCTTCTACTGAAGCAAAGTTGTGTGAAGAGCTGCTGCACACCAGGTCTAGTCACTGTTCTGCTAAAGACAGCAAGGTCAAGGCTGCAATGTGTTTCAATGAACCAGAAAGACAAGATTTGTTCCATATGGCCACAGATGTGCTGCCCAGTGCACAAATCCTCCTTCAGACACGTGTGAAAGCAACATTGCAAATTACAGTAGGTGCAAGGACCAATCCCTTTGAAGTCCCTACTGAAAGGGAGTTAGACCTCACCACCACCACTCCTTAGCATAACAGACTCAGACAGTTCAGTTGAGTTCCTCTAGCTGGTTCATGAAATACCATCACTCTCCAAGGCTGACAGCAGGCCAAGAAGACTGGCATTCCAAAAACTTATGCACAAATGGTAAAGGCATTACAAAAGCTTACAGTATCAGACTAACTGCACAACAAACCTATAGCTGATAAAGAGGCAGGGCAGGAACATATAATGTATACACATCCTCAGTACCTAGTTTTTCTTGCTCAACGTGATATCCTCCCTTTTACTGAAAAAACGCGCAGTTACAACAAGGCAGGCACCAAGAAGGAGAGCAGTTTGGTTCTTCTGGTTCGACCAGCTTCTCCTCTGAACCGGCCCTGCAGAAAACTGCAAAGCAGATAGATCTCCCTCTGAGCAGTTGCTACCAGCAGAGAGAAGAATGCAACACTTCTGGCTCTAGAAATTGAAGACTTACACGTCAAAAGGGCACTGCATTTCAGCCAGGTTCCTTTTTGGGAATTCTGGCTCTCCTATTTGCCCTTGTGAGCACAGACCCTATCACCAGAGCAAAGATAGAAGGCTGGGGCAGGGGGTGGAGGACAAGAGGGGCCATATTGGAGCCTCAAATGTTTGCACAGCACTCCTACTGATGTCAATAGAGGTTCTGCAAACAGGAAGTGACCCTTGAATCCAACACGTGGCTTAAGGGATGCAGAAGGGGAAGAATAAACCATCTGAAGTGCCAAATTAAGCACTGGAAACACACACAGATCTTAACCCATCTCTTTGCACATAAGTAAACTGACTTAGGAAGAGTGACCTCCCTTTAGAGATCACTGGACAGCAAAAGCGGACATTGTAAATTACAGTGCTGAAATTGAGGTCTCCCTTGCTAACACAAGAGACTCTCTAGTGTTCCCACTGATACAGGTTATTATTATTCACTTGGCAGTTTTATGAGAGATGTACAATATCTCTCCACATAACCAATACCACTGTATTAATATAAAAAATCAGGCTCAGGTTCACAAAATCAGAGTGATGCAGTTCACCATCTGAAATGAACTTACACAGCCAAGCATCTCTAGCATTTGCAATTCACTCCCAAGCAAATATCAGTCTAATCATTACAGAAAATTAGCTTAGAATTTGAGATCATAAGCTTCTGCGAGACAGTAGAATATGTCTATGACTGTACTCAGATGTTGTTACAGAGACACAGAAGTGACACGACCTGTGCTACAGAGGAAGGCAATGGCTGAGCCACAAGCACTTCCATTTAGCAAGTATTGCAGTCCTTAGTTTGTGACACCTTTACATTCTGATATATACCCCACTCTTTTGGCAGCCCGGTTTGCATTTCCTATGAGATGAAAGAAATTAATCTGCATGAAAACGCTGACTATGTTCCTTTCAAACTGATATCAAGCACTTAAGAACTGCGCAGCATGCATCTTCCAAGCAGTTGTGTGGGACAGGAGCCATCCTGCAACCCAGTGGATAACTTGCACCATGCACCTCATCCTGATGGGAGGGATTCTGCTTGGATCGAGTCAGAAACATATTCTGCCCGCTGGTAAGACAGAAAACTGTTGCGGAGACAGAGTTAATGATAAATGGAAAGTCAAATAAGAAGTAAAATGCTTTGATGAAAGATATACGGGTCATCTGATGTAAGACACGGTACTCAGTTCATGCCACAAAATGCCTCATTCAGAATAGTATTTCATGCTAACTACTTTCCCCTTAGTGTTTTCCAAGTGTTCAACTCCAGTTACTACACAGAGCAGTTATCAAAACAAGATGGCTTCCAGCCAAAATTCAAGCAATTTATTTCCCTCTGTGGAACTCTCAGTGAGAATTTGGCCCCAATTCCTCCCATTGGCACTGAAGAGCCAAAAGCTAAGAAGTAGCTCAAGGCTCTGGCACACAGAATCCCATACCAGTGACTCTCCAGCCCTATCACACATGGGTTGTCAATGTTCTAACTATATCATTGTTACTCCAGTATCTAAATCTGTAGAGAAATACAGTTGCAAGTGTGACTAAAACAAACCATACTCCCAGTGACAAACCAGTTCCCATGACAGGCTGCAACTGGCGAAGCCCAAAACATACAACTGAAATAGAGTGAGTTTGCCAGTACTGTCTTTCTGTTTCTTCATTAATATAGGCTACACTAGATAGCTAGAAGTCAATGCTTGGCAATAAAGCCAGAGAGAGTTACTGAATGTACTGATGCTGAGACTTTGTGATGATATATATGATCAAACAGTCTGATCTTAACCTGGGCAGTAGCTATTCCTCAGCTGATGAAGGTTTAACATATGTTGGGCTTAGAGGGAAGGAAAAACCCTATGGAAACATCTGTGGCAATGGAGAGCAGCGGTGACAGGTTCAACCTGCTGAAACCTTCTCCCTATCATGCTCTCAACACTGCCTGTACCTGCACCACACCAAGGCAGCAAGGGGCTCACAACAGCCTCAGAGCTGTCAACCTACTTGGTCTCAGGTTATGCTGCAGTATGGTACGCACACAGACAAGGGCACCTGAAGCCAGCTATCAGTGCTTTTACCACTATCCGGCATGAAGAAAGCATTTTGAACACCAAATCCCCAGAAGAGCTGATGCCAATGCACAACCCGGTGCTCCTCGCGCAGAGCTTGCCACAAGCCTTCTTCCTTACCTCAGGCAGGGAACAGAATGGCAATAAATATCTGAATAACCACATTAAATTCCTGAGATGCAATTTGTCTCCCAGCTTCATTGGAAGCTTTTGGGGCACCAATAAAAACCTGGGCGGGTGATGATACAGTGCAATTTGTATTTTGAGCAGACAGTCCCTGAGCAACAGCAAATTTATGCAATCACCTCCTAGGCTAGGGTTTGAGCAACTCTGCTTTACAAACAAGAGTAATATCCAGCAAAGTAGTAACCACCCAAGTCCACAGAGTTCCTACTTGGTGATTCATAAAGCCATTGCGTCTACCCTAAAGAGAATTTATAGACTGTTTACTCTTTTCATTTTTACTGCTTTGGCCATTAATGCATATTAAATGCAGGTATGAACACTTAGTTTGGGAACAAAAGAACTGACAGTCAACAATTTGTTATAGCTGATGAAAAATTTGGTTCAAGAAAGGAATGCTTTCACATACTCAGAAGGCACAAGCCATCTCAGTTCCAGCCACCAGTAACTCTTGAGAGCTTCCGATTTCAAAAGATAATCCTAAACTCAAAAGTTACATTTTGCTTTATGTTTGTTTGCTACACAATCACAATATCCAGCTTTCATTTTTGAGTGTTTTGGTGTTACATTTCAGGGGCCACTTCCACTATGCATTCTGTGGTTTTCTGCACAATGCATTGATACGATACACTGACTTTCTATTAGGCTGCTGCTGTTCCAGACCAATCTGAGTCTTACTTAATCTAGCCAAGTTGTCTGCTTGCCTTTCCAGCAATTAATTAAAACCTAACCTTACACTGAGCAATATCTGTGATGGAAGTCAGTAGACAAGAAAAAAATAATAATAATTGCAAGTTCTCTTTCACAGAATGGATCCACACAGCACTAGACAGAACCAGCCTGGAAACTGTTTGATTATTAAGCCAAGCTGGCCAATAAAAATTCCATTTAGCAACTTTATATGGACATCCTAAATAGCGCAAAGATAAAGACAAAGGAATGCTGACAGATGAATGCAGCATGCAGAAGGAGGGGGGAAGAAAAAGAAACAGCTTTTACCCCCCAGCCCAAGGCACATCCAGCAGGCAGGAGGATCACCTTTGAAGCAACCAATACAACTATTTAGGCCATCAGGCACACACACACATTTATCTGACAAGATTAATGGGTCCACAGAGTAAACAGGCAAGACTGACAGAGCTGGCATCTCAACTTGCATGCTTGATTGCCCACACCTTTTTAGACAGACAAAAGCAGAAGTATAGCTTAGCATAACACCTGCCAAAGTGTCCCATGTGCAGACACTCTCAAGACAAGGAACAAGGGCGGAATCCTCCCGCCACAAAGATGGATACGCAATAATGCTGGACATGCTGGATATTCTGCAGTTGCTTATTGCATCCTCCTTTGACAAGATGCTCTAGGAGATGTTTATCCAGAGGATATTGTGAATTCAGCTGCTACACAATAGGCCACCCTGAAAGCTCCCGCTATGCTAAGAGCATGGAAATCCTGCAGAGGAGGACCAACTGTGGGCCAGGCAAAGCAAAGGGAACATAAGAGTCATCCTGACACACCAAATCCATCATGTCCCACATCTCATCTTCAAGAGCAGCCAGTTATAAGTGGCCAGGGAGGGGGCAGGGCGAAGACAGTCGACCCTTCCCTAGCCACAGCTTCCCAGCAGCTGGTATTCAGTGTCCAGGCTGCATCCATATCAAGCTGTCCAGTCAGACCAATG